ATGCAAGGTTTGAATAGGGGTCTAGCAGGACTACATACCAGCAACGCAAACACAACTGCTGGTGCAAGGTTACACATACACGAAGACAAAGTTTCAGAGGCCGGCGGGACGGGCATTAGCGTGAAATGGAATACTGACTCGGCAAACAGAAACTAGCTAACAAAATCCCTCAGCGGAGAAAGGCAAGAAAAACACTCGACTGGAATTAGAATGAAACTTTTAGTAGCATAGGAAACAAGCCTACCAGGCGGATATAATGTAAGCTTCGTGCTACGTTAGGATGTAGACCATATGCGTCCGTGTCACACCTGTCCAAGAAGTCTATGAGATGAAAATAATTGAAACAAATTCTGCAAATAATTAAGCTACAAACACACCATGTTCTACACTCGGAGACCCATTGATCTCTCAATCAGACGGTCGTCCTGCACAAAATCAAAGCGCAACATAGGATTGGAATAAATTACTTTCGAACATATCTGAAAACAGCAACTAAATTGAACTCTGAACTGTGAACTCAATGCACTTAGAGATCTATTTATAGACCTTACTAGGTGCCGGAATCTGGAAGTCATTGTTTCAAACCAGCGCCTTCGTGTTGAAGCTTTGTAAGTTTACAAAACTCGTTCATATTTGCTAGAATTCGTAGCCGAATACGCTGTTGGGAGATACGCTGCGTCGATCCTTTCATGAAATTATTATGTGAGGAAAAGCTCGTACGAATTGTACGGATTGTCCATGATAGGACGTAGCATAAAAATTCTAACCATATATCGCATTAGCGGTATCGACTGCCCGCACAAGTTGCGCGCAGTCTTCTTTAGAGAACGGCTTTTGGTAAGACCACAGGAAGTGTTCCCATATCCTGTAAGACTGTGTTGGGTTGAGCTCAATAATTTCCTAAATTCCTTTACGAACGAACGAACAGACCTGCTGCAGGACCACGTGGAACTCGCTTGGAAAACTCCTCCTGGATATAGTCATTAAGGGGATGGTGATGATACGATGAGCTTATAGCAATATGTGCTCGATTTGGCCTGTTTGACCATATATTTAATTTGACATCGTCCTGCTAGCAGAGGAAGATGGGAACAAAATGGATACAAATTGTATTGAATGCTTGTCATCTCACAATGTAAGCTCTGGTTCCAGTTCGATTAGGAGCTTTCTAAAAGCATGAGACCCTCCGCAGTTATTCATTTCGAAAAGCAGCGAGTCGGCACTTATCGTGTAGATAATTGAACAGTCTGACATGTGCCGATAGCGTTATCGCTATGTAACAGTTCACTTCAAGCACCACCAATGACACCGTAGAATTCATCGATGATTCATCGATGATCGAAGGATGAAAACTCAGCCAACAAATGGCATAGACATAGAAAAATGGTACGCCTTCTAGAGGAGAAACGCAAATACGGGAGCGATTCTCGAATCGTTTGTTACTGCGACACGCCCGTACTGTCGAGTCGCGTTATTTACTGCACTTGTTTATTACTCATAATAACATAAAAATTTCACTGCCAACACGGCGTTCAGAATCTCTAAACGCTACCATCTATAACATGATGACAGCTTTGCCACGACTGAAAATGAGGTAAAACGGCTACTTAACGATTGTTTTCCACGTTATTCTAAACGCTGATGTTAAAACAAATCGACCTGCAACATGTTCATTTATCCTTATGTATTACATTTTATTGTAGACAAGTGGACAATCGACGGAAACTGTTTTGCGTGCATTGATTGCCTCGGTAGCGAAACAGTTGACGCGGCACCTCGGATCAGAACCAATTGTGTTACTTCGAACTATACGAGAAAATCTGTAAAGCTACGAGCGTGTGGTAGCTTGGTTTATAGATTCGAGCATAAGTGACACTTATGATACAAGAGAAGGATTATTATTTTATTATTAATTATTTCATTTCTTAAAAAGAAAAATATAATTTATTATATTAGTTTTGGATAATCGCTATAATATCATTGTATGAAAAATCATCATCACACTGCCACTGAAGTTCCGTAAATTAAGTGCATGAACTTAATTGCGCCAATTAACTGACTCACAACATTTTTAGGAATGGTAGTCTGAGCAGTTAACACGCATCCCTTTGAATTTGTTCGTACATGCTGAATAAACAAACAGCCACGCTGATTCAAATTTTAGCGTTGCTAAAGTTATTATCAGCAAAAAGAAACACTAGACTAGCAGAAATGATCAGTGCTAGAGAAAGTAAATTGCACGCTGTTTATTCGATAAAAAAAAACACTTATTAAGTCCTGCTTATTTCTTTTAGTGAGGCAGGTTTTTGATGCTATACCGAAAAGACGTTCCACTCAAGTCTCGCAATTTCGACAACTGGAACAGGTAGACAAATAACACGCACGGTTTATGTGCTATTGTTATAAATTGTTGCGGCATAGTTCCTAGAGACATTGGCATACTATTATCGAGACGGAAGGCAGAGCAACCTTAACGAAGAAGAAAAGAACTATATACACAAGAAAATTATTATGTTATATATTATTAATATGATTTAGATATGTTTGTTGTATTTCTCCTGTGAAAGACTGGGTAGCTTATATGGTTCCTATACACGAGGTCCAGCTTGTCCAAACACCATTCTATCCTGCTATCCTGAGCTAACCGTACGCAGGCTACTATGCTTCCGTCACGAATGTGGTTATTTTTCGAAGGTAAGATTATCACCAGGGGGTGTTCCCAACAAGAAGAAGACCTTTCAGTTCTGCCATGCAGAACAGATGGAAAAATGTCCAAAAATAGCACCTTATGCTCCGTTGGACTAAAGGAAGAAATATTAAGAACGTGGTCTAGTTGCAATAATCGCCATAGTTAGATGAATACATGCAGATAACTTAATGATCGAAGACAGGGTTAACAAAGCCTATTTTTGGCTCAAGCAAGCTAGATATTTTTTGTCTTTTAACGGGAGACGCCTTCTCAATTCGAAAAGCCACGGCATGCCATTCGAATTTGAAGAAAGTTACGAATTGATACATTTTTAGCCTTTCTTGTCAGAAATTTTCAGATTTGATGTTGGAGACCCGCTTTGTCGACCTTTGCGATGCGCGTCTGACATTGCTGTAGAAACTGAAGGATAGTTTTATTTATTCGGTCTATTTAATCCATGCATTACTAAACATACAGAAATAAAAACATGTCTTCGGCGGGCTTTTCTTATGGAGATTTGGCCTTACTTTGAAACTATCAATTTTTTTAGCCGCTTCAGGTTGACGCAGAGGCGGCACTTGTTACCGATTATAACAATTTTGCGTAAAAAAATTCTTATTGTGGCTCGATGTTCGGCGAGAAGTTGGGGATCAATGAGAAGCTGCGTTTCAATGTTTGCTTTACACAGTTGACGGCACATCTGGGCTTCTAATTTCTTTCAAACTTTTCTACATTGAAGATGTCTGGCGATAATCCGATATTTTCAGATAACTTTTTAACCAATTAACGAGTTTGAGCATTTACCATCCGAGACTCTCATCGCCCACGGACGGCTACTTAGGGTTAAAAGTACATTTTTCAGGTTTAAGATTTCAGTGTTCTGCTCAGCAAACCCATAGCAGTACCCCTCCTAGCTACAGGGTCTTCATGTGCAAATATTTTAGACTGCTTTGGCAAATATCACAGAAGAAAACTTAACAGATATTGAAAAACCGTTTAACTGTACAGTGAAGGTCCAATATGCTTATAGGAAAAATGGCGTGCACAAGCACACATACACAGAGAAGGTAAAAGGAAAAATATATATTATGCCTCCTAGTTTTTTTCGAAGTAATAGAAGTGGTACCATTATACTAAATCAAATTGTCAAAGGCGTAGAAATAAAATACATTTAAACATATTCGGATATATACTTCAATTCACATGGGACGAAGACCACTGATTTAACTTAATCATGAAACTGCACCGTGTTTAGTCAGTATAGCCAATATTGCTTTGACAGTTCACAAGACACAGTGATCGCCGCTAGGATAAGAGTACTCATAGAAGATTACGCTAGTTTTATCTATTTTTAGAGCAAGAACTCGACATGAAATCCTTTCGGCCATATAGCAATAAAGTGTATATATAATAAATAGCAATAAAATATGAAAGAAAAAAAAAAAAAGAAAGCGCTTTGGACCGATGTGCAAAGAAAGGCAATTAGAATAATGAAAAGGGCGAAGAAAAGCGGAAACATTTGAAAAACCGCCACTACTTTTTTATCGACGACGTTCGTGATTAAATCTCCCTTGAAATAATCGGGGCAGATCAAAGAAGCGGGCACACATAATGATAGACTGAGTGCGAACTAAAACGTTCATCGAAAAATATCTATACATAGCTACTTGCCCAATTTCCAATACTCATAGAAACACAACTCTTGACAAATGGGCTCCATCGATAGTCTCTTCAAAAGACGCTAGATTGATTGTTCCTGCAGATATCGCAAACATGGACCTGTAAAAGTTGATCATCATCAAGTGAATTATCTTTAGCTACTCCCACGGTGTAAGATCTCTCTCTTAATTTGTACATGGGCTACACAGGACAAAATATCTTCAGACCTCTGTTATGCGTCTATATGAGAAAAATCAATCTGCACCACGTCTTAAATAAAATTAGCTAGAAGCTCCCTTTAGTCGATGCAGTTCTGTAAAAAATCAACATATTGCCCCAGCTACCGGATAAAATACTAGTTCATTTGACGATTAATGTAAAACTACATGTTTCCTTAGTACTAAACGGGTATCTAGCCTGCTGCGATGTTAGCGTCTATCTTGGCAGCCTTTATTGACCAACAGAGACAAGGCGACCCGCTACGGCAAAAGCAAGCACTTACTATCGAATCTTCTTATTATCAAGGCCTTTTTCGTTTACATTAGGTGACAACTATTTAGTTGCTACCATGATATAGAAAATCACTGAAGAATTTTTTAATTTAATAAAAAAAAAATAATACGTTTTCCACTACGCGGCCATTGCAACTCACCGCTGTGTTGTTCATTGCGAATTTGATTCAAACCAGAATTAGGACGCGCTGTATTTTCTAGTTTATTCCAGGATGCGTTTCGGTATAAGTAGCGGTGCCCAAAGCAGACATCTAGGTTCAATATGCACCACAATTGCACATTAGATGAGAAGTTTCACAGACGATTCGATTGTGTGGACCAGCTTGCGTAGACTAGAAAGCCTTTTATGAGATCTCTAGTAGAGTCTAGAAGTACACGAGCCGCGTGCACAGTTTCATCAGCAATCCGTACATTGATGCACAAATCGTTGCTTAAACACTCGCATCTTTGCATTACCATCTTCGATAAATGAACACTATACCGTTTAAACTCAATTCACCGGTCATAAACTTTAATAAGTTGGATTTTGTCTCACTTTTTGCTTTTGCTCTCTGTATTATTTTTTGTTTATTAAACGCATTCACAATGTGTACGTTGAGGAAGAATCGCAGTACAATTGCATACGCTGTTTGGCGAGAACCGAAAGTTCTGAAGTTTTGTGCACGTTCTCTCGCCGGCCTAATAAGCCAGGTTCATCCTATCAAAATTATTTAGTAACATAAGATTCCTAAACCTGAAGTTGTTATCGATAAGATAGTATCGCAGTTTTGGAGAGGGCAAAGTTCCCGACGTCGTCCGAAGAGTATGTGATGAAGTATGAATCCCTCCCTCATGAAAGCATCGAAAGCAACGACGTTTCACCCGACACTAGGAGAGGGTGCCATTGAAGTCCCTTTCCTTCGGATAATATCGGACCCCTGTCGTCGGAAAGCTTTCGGCTTAGGAACAAGCCTTACCCGAGTCGGAACGATGGTTCTTGTATAGCATTGCATCGGAAACGATTCAGCAGCCACTCGGTTATTTCGCTGCATCGTGACAACAGGATAAGTAAAGATTGCAGACAAACAAAAATACCGCTATGCGTAGTGGGCGTTTCCTTCATGCAATAGAGATGCCAAAATGGCACATATCTGGCATTGGGAAGCTGTCCGCTGATCCCTCACAAAAATCTCTATCAGAGTAACGCCAGAATAAAGTTGATTCCTTAGAAAAGACCTTGTTTACTGTCACGCGTCTAACAACGATAAAGATGCGAGGTAAGATTTTTATCGCAGGCAACGTTTGAATTTTCGCAGTTATTAATTACGATAAAAAAGGAAACACCGTAGATAACATATCAATAACATGTGTAGTCAATTGTCTTAGGTAGGACAACCTAAAAAATTAGAAAAAAAAAAGCTAAACTTATGATGAAACACGAATGTGGCAAGTGTACAAAAACCTCAAAAAATACTGTCGCATACACTGGCAAAGACAAATGAAGAAAAGAAGAAAACTTTTTTTTCTCCTAAGAAAACTATTAAAACGCTTTTAACACGTTAAAATCTTTCTTAGCTTGTGTCTCAAACGCTTTTGCCCTTAAAGCTACGAGTCGCTGAACATTTTTGTGACAATTCCCAGGACAACCTTTTAAAACTATATTTTACTTAACATCAATTGATCTTAGACATCCATAGTTGGAAAAATGTATACCCTTACAATATCCTACGTGATTTTCTTGAATAAGTATTATTTAGTAGAGGTTTTGTTGAGGTCAAAACGAAACGAAAACCAACAATTTAATTCGTTATCTCCTATGTATAAAAAGAACAAATAATCACAGAATGACTTAACAAAACATGGGCTTGCGAATACACAATATAGCAGTAGGATGTACATGCAAGCAGTTGATATATCCCGATACTTAATCCCTCTGGATTGCAGAATATAAAACATTAGGGAGAATAGAGGTTTAAGAAAAGCAAGCAGGATCCTTTTTACATAGACAAAACGGTAATTGACTCGGTAAGGCACCTGTTTTTGTTTGCCTCGACGTCGTATGACACGCTTATTATCTTTTAAACATTTTTTACAAAATGTTTAGGAACTATTCATGCAGAGTTACGATTTGGAATATGGCCTCTTGCGGACCACCTGAAGGCTATGTGTAGGAAGACTTATACGTTTTAACAACGGAATTATTTCGACGGGAAAAGAATAGATCTAGTAGGTCAAACCTAGTATCGACTATATAAAAGTGGACTTCCAAACATACCTTGATGTTGTGCCCAACCAGCTCACTGACCATTATCGGCCACTTTTCTGAAACGCTTTGATCGAACCATTCAGTGCCAAAAGGCTTTCCCCTAATGTCAGCAGCCTGGGAGCAGCTTATTACCGAAGGAGACATCATTAAGGTTTACTTCACAATGACGGGCATCGTAAACCACTCTTAAAGCTGCGCTCTAATGAAGTAGCGGCTCTAGATTAGATAAGGAATGAGTACCTGAAGAAAATAATCATCCTAGCTTTTTGTCGGACGACGCTGCCTAATGAGCGCCTTCAAAAATACGCCAGTTAGTCAGAGGCTATAATTTTCTGCCTTCCTATAAGGAAGAGAATTCGACCTTGTTGGCCTTACGGCACCGTATTCCACAGAAGAGTATGTGCTATAAATTGTTAGCTTCTTTGGTCGCGCCAAGGACCGACTGATTTCTGGCAATTGTTGGCGTCATTCCGGAAGATCAGCGCGGGTTTCGACGAGATCTATTAAGGATAGTGATGTGCTACTTAATATCAGAAAGGTCCTGGCCAAACAAATTTGACTTATCTTTATTGCGTTCATAGACCTCAAGGCGTCCTTTGGTTCGGCGCCAAAAAATATCATTTTTGGCGCCTTGGCAGAGGAGGATTCTCCTAAAAATCTGAAGCTTCGAATGACTATCGTTTAGGAAAATTAGGTAGACGAGAGCGTGGCAGAATTGTTTTTTTCCTGAGACAAAGGGCCTCGCGCGGAAAGATAATTCTAGCAGTCTATTTTTGGCCCTGCTAAAGGATGTATTGGTGAGAGTTCGAGGACAAACTTTGGAAAGCTAATCCCGCTCGTCGGCAACGTAGTCATTTATGGAACCAGCTGTTTCCGGATGACCGTGAATCTGAATGACGAGATTCAGGAGGAGAGAGTGGACTGCTTCCCATGACGCACTCTCTATCGGGACCTACCTACGTAGAAAATTATCCATAATTTATCTACCTTTTACGCTACACGGTAAACATTTTTTGCCGCGCATAACAGGGATCTGCAAAAACATAGTGGACGCGATGTCGGTCATCAGAAGCTCAATATTCTACCGCACTCTGCTTATCAGATATAAAAAAGATAGCCTCAGCAGCTGCCTACAGCAAGAAAATCATGCGCGAGGACGTTCCTCTCGGAGACTTAGAACAGCTAAATGGGCTCACAGCTGCGTGTCTTAAGCATTCTCAAACTCCGCCGCACGGTACCGAATTGGATAATTTGTCTCCTTGATGGGACGCCCTTGTCCATTGGAATTCTACAACGACCTCTGGATCTATTGCCTAGTTCCCTTCTTAACGAATGTTTCACAACAGGTTCGCGAAAATTGATGTAAGCTTGTACGAGTCTGAAACCACGCTGACCAGCGCTGAACCACTCAGATCGTCATGTTGTACATAGTTAGACGGTCCATGGTTCTCATTATAAGCTATGCGTCGTCCCGAATTTCTTATACAAAATGAAACTTATTATATGTAACGTATGGAACAGCGTAGCAGATGCGGCGTTTTTCGATAACGTCATGCAATCTGGCTAGACCTAGCATATTAACCAGCCCAACGACCATATGAATTTTGAACTTTCTAGGTTTGCTCACGATGTAATACACATGATGATATAACAATACAAAATGTTGTGTAATATTCTTTGTGATCTATTTTATAGAAGTAAATTACTCGTATTGAATTAAACTAAAAAATGTTCTATCAGTATTGAGAAATTGGTTTTTAACAGATTTCTAATCGGTTTTTTATGCTGCAATTGTTTCATACAACTTATTTTTAATCGATCCTAATTTTTTTCTATATTAAATATGTCAAGTTTTCTTATTCTACGTATTATTGTGATTGTTGCTTGAAAAACCAAAACTTGAACTCGTTTTGCTATCCAGGGAAGAAATAAGTCATATGTCTGCGTACGAACGCAAGACATATGTTGGCCCGAGGCAACTGCATTTTGTATTACAAAAAAAAAAAACATTTATTCATTCTTATCGTCCAGTCTTCGCTATCTACTGTCGTTGAAGAAGCAGATTTTTAAAAGGATCTGAACTCGTCCGTAGGATGACCCACGTCTCTGAAGGGAACTAAATGCTAATTTTAAGACGTACATCTTCAGTATCTTATTCGTCACTCCGTATACGGAACAAAAAATGCTAGCCTATTTTACCTAACCATGGTAACCTAGGGTTAGGTGTACGCCATTCGGCCGAATTTTACTGCGTTAGCTTTTTTACGTTACAGCTGCGTTACAAGTGATCTTATCCAATTTTTCCTGCTGTAATAGCAAGCCAAATTTTTCTGAATTTTATAAGATGCCGTTACTTATTAAAACTGCGTCAAAATGCCTGCATAAAGGTTGGTCCCCCATTTTCAAAATACCGTTGTGCCCTGCATAGTTGTCTCGTAAATTTAGCACAACGGAACTATGCATCCAGGCCACCCCGTAAACAATAGGTTCTTTTCCGAACAGGTTCCTCTTACTAGATAATTACTAAGAAAATTTGTTATTCTGCTTAAAGGAAAACAGATATAAATACAAAAAATACAGGTCGAATGTAAGCGGGGTAGCCAAACTCATGCCTCGTCTGCCTTGCGTTACTACCACTACCACTAAAGCTGAACAATTAGAAACGAGACACGTTCCCTGCGATTTGCATGTATTTATACGTACTACATACGTCTTCTTCGCAGACTATTAAGGTCTGCTGTTCTCAAAACAAGTAACATGTTTGTGGTAGGAATTTCTTATGAAAATTGCTTCACATTAGCAGCTAATAAGTTGGCTAACATACCCGGGAAGGATCTCAGACCGTCTTACTGCCGCTTACGTGCATATATGTAATATATTAGACGATGGAATCAGATGACGAGATATTTCGAAAATAACGAAGCCACTACGACAGTTGGCCTGGTATGCACTAATAAAGTACGACGTTACCAGATACGCAGCGATGATGTGGACTAAATAGTATTCAGGGCACGTGAACTCATCAGATCAGAGACAATTGCAGCAATCCAACAGCTGTCAGAAGTTCGCTTCGTTTCAAAATAGAAATCTCTTTTTTTACGGCAAAGAAGAGATATACACTTTGCAATAAAGACCCGTTTTTGATGCAGCTTCGTGCGCTGGTTAGCGCTCTGCGTGCAATCCTCCCCCCCCCCCCCTAGCGATGTCTTGCGCACGCCAACTCATATAATCCTGGTGCCATAGAACGCCGGAGTTTTCATTTCGTTTCGTTGATACATGCTCCGCGCTAGCAGAATACGTAATATCGTTAAACTGGTACGAAAACGTTATGACTTTTGCTTATTATAGGCCTCCTACTTTGATTTTTTATTTCGTGATATTGAAAATATCTCGCTGAATAGTCGACCAACGGCAAAGAACCACAAACATTGAAGCTTTAGGACCAAAGCAAAAATACCTTGCATGGTAAATACATCTAATGCTACGTGCGATCCACGGAAATGCTGCCACACACAAAGATTACAG